CGACGACGGCAACAAGGCTCCACGGACGGAGAGATCGAGGGCTCGACCAGCTCCAGTGTTCACTGCTACTTGACGATGGCTCAAATTGGTCTGGTCACTCGATCTGGTCGTAGATCGCCGGTGTACAGACACTGACGACTCAGAAACCAGGCCGCAATTTGTCGACGTCTGTAAGGATCGCGAAAATGCGTTACGCTGCTGTTGCTGACCAGTTGCCATTCCATCCGGTGAATCGGAAGCACTCTCTTCTTCACAGCTTCGTTGACTGTTGCCGACAGCAGCCGCCGCCTCGGCGAAACTGGCGGCGGTTGCCGCGAATTGGGGACAGAGGCGTGCGTGACGCACGAATTGTGTTGAACTAGGAAACCTCAGACCACAGGGACAAGGCAATCCGTGACTATTTGAAGAAGCAGTTGTCAAGCCGCCGCCGGGGCTTACAACATACCCGGGACCTGGAGACTGAGGCGCATCTGCCTCTTTATCAAAAGCCTCCGCTGAATAGGGATCATTTACAAACGTACCAGGACCACGACTTCGCTTCGACTCACTTGCCTCACAAACCGGCGATGCTGAATGCAGTGAATGAGTAGAATTAACATGTTGCGAGTCAATGTTAAGATAATCATTTGGCTGGCCTGAATTTACTGGAGCACCAGCGAGTCGCGATACATGCTTGCGCTTTCTTCGGTCACGAAGTTGCCCTGACGTTGGACAAGCCAGAGAAACTGCAATCGCCGTCACAGCCTCATCTTCTTGCCTATCCTCTGCTTCTTCCGCAGAGGTCGTTTGCCATCGTTTCTCAGCCGGGCCGATGATAGTACCATTGTCGTCGTCACCAGGACACATTTTCATTCCACCAATGGCTGTATGCGAATAGGAGCGTATTGGCGTCGATAACGCGTTGCGTTCATGTGCAACCATCGGCTCGTCGTTTTCCTCCGCAGCTTCTGCTGTTACAACGTCATGCTCCTCATCCGCTGTCTCCTCTCCATCATCCTCTTCCTCCTCTCCGTTCCCTTCATCCCTCTCGTCCCCATCATCCTCTTTTTCGTTCTCTTCCAAATCGACCTCCCCGCTTCGGGCAACTTTACGCATCTGAACTTGCGAAAGACATACAAACTCTGATAATGCTGAGGAGGACGAAGATGATGCGGATGTCGAGGGGGCGGCGGCAGCGATGGCGAAAGAAGAAGAAGAGCAGGTGGAAGGGACTAAAGGGACAGACGGGCAACCCAGAAGTCCGAAGCCGTTGGCCAGATTCGAAGAGGTGGCCGAAGCATATGAAGAAGATGAGAGGGAGGATGAAGAAGAAGAGGTGGAGGAGGAGGAGGAAGAAAAGGAAGATGAAGAGGAGGAAAATGAACAAGAAGCAACTGTGGTTGAGGGTAGTGAGACTTTAGACGGTGAGCCAGGCAGCTCCAACTGTACAGTCGGACAAAGGCTCAGTCTGGCGTCCGATTCGGAATCCGACGCCGAGCCATTCATACTGGCACAGTTTCTTCCAGAACGTGTGACTGCACTGGCGGCGGCGGCGGCGGCGGCGGCAGCAGCTGCTGCTGCTACAGCCGCGGCAAGAGCGGGACTGGACTTGGGCATTGTGACTGCCGAGGGGAGCAGCAGATGCTGGCGCTGGCAGGTCGTGGGCAGACTGGACATGTGGAGGAGAGGGAGTGAGCCCTTCTGGAAGGCGGCGGAGTGTGAAGAGCAGACGTGGGAAGAGTGAATGTGAAAAAAAGGGTCTAGTTGACAATACGGTCTATACTCGGCATCAGATGCAGATGTCGAGGCGGAATGGAGAACATCTCGGGTGAAGGTGCTGCGAGCAATTGCAGCAGGGCTCCGGGCCACCCTTTCAACTGTTGGTATCGTGTCAAAAGGCCTTGGTTACACGACCGATAATAACACCCTTCAGCGTAAAGGTCTTGCATGTCGAGCTCAACCTCGTAGGGTTGAGTTGAAAGGTTTTGCCAAACTGGCAACTTTGGATGGTGCTGATGGTGCTGATGGATGATGGCCGATGGAGACAAGTCTGAAGAAAGTGTACAAGCCAACCTAAGAGACGGGCCACGATTTGGCGAAGCCGTCTGGAGAAGAGGCAAACACGAGAGAAGGAGCTATCCCTCTCTCAGGGGCCGGCAAGACAAGGGAGACACAAGCAAATCGTCCGCAGCGGAGACTAGAAGAATGAAAGAATAAACGGGCGTGAATGAATACGCAGCCTACTACGTACACGCAAGCGAGTAAATACACACACTAGTCGTCATACGCACAAGTTTGCATAAACACACCACAGGGGGGAATAGGGAGAGACTGAGGCATCGGAAAGATAAGAGCGCGTCTGTGCGAGAGAACGAAAAGAAAAGGAGAGAAAGAGAGAGAGAGATGAAAGAGAGAGGTGTTTGTATTAGGCAGGCATACAGGGCCAATGTCCCTGCTCAGGGGCAGACTTTATTTGGACGAGATTCTAACAGGCCCTTAAAACGAATACACGATGTCCTAGGCATAAGTACCCAACGGTCAACCATCAATCAGCTTCGGAATCTGTAGCCTAATGCAGGTATATACCTGTTTGGGCGTGTGATGCATGCAGGCAGGTATGGCTGATATGAATATGTCTGAGTGGGCTGGTGTGTATCAGATGGTACAAAAGTCATAGGCTGATTGTCGTGGCCTCTAACTACTTCGCCATACACACAGCCAACGGATACACAAGTATTACAACAATGCACATAGCAATCTCATGTTTTCACTCCTTCTCCTAGTGGTTATTTCATCCTGCGCGCTTTCTACTTCCAACTTCATCTCTCTCCCTCTCTCTACCTCCCTCTCCCTCCCTCCCTCTCTCTCTCTCTCTCTCTCTTTCCCTCCCTCATTTTAGCTCTCTCTCATGCACACAAATACACACTCACATACAGCGCACATACATCAATACACAAAATACACTGACTACTTCAAATGATCCTCACGTACCCGCTTCCCCCAGGCACCCTTTCAGTCTCTTTCTCGCTATTTCCACTGCTCCTTTTCATACCCTGGCCACTATACTGTCGCACTGGGTCGAGCGCTAAACTGGCTAACATTGTAAGCATTAAACAATACAGAGAAACAAAGAAACCATGTGCAGAGAGGGGTGCGCCGGTTCAAAGACAACAGACAGATACTATGAATAGTACATGCAACATAAGTATATATAACTTTTATGCATAGACATTTAGAGGAGGAACGAGAGAGCGTGTATGAGAGAGAGAAGAGAGAGGAGGAATATGAGCTGGGATACGAATATGAATGCGAATGAACAATTTACCAGCCCAGTAATGTAAGGTTGTAGGCTGTAAGGCACACCGAGATGAAGAAAAAGGAGAGCAATAACGAGGCGGTGGTGGATAGAAGTCATCTCTATTGCAGACAAGGTGACAGAAAACAAACTTGAATAAGCCATAGTGGTCGCGGCAGAGCGATGCTGGACTATATCTAGCACAGAGGAGGCTAGCAAGACGATAAATAGACGTAGCAACATGAGTATAAAAACATGCATACGTTATTATGCATTTTTCAGAACCAGCAAACGCATATTGTGATGAGATGAGGATTACCTATTGGGAAAATACTCTATCTAACCTTACCAGCCAATCAAGGGCAGCCAATCAACCGTGCCATCATTCGGTCGCACTCACATGTTCACCATGTTAATATTCATCAAATTGGTATCGCAATCGATAACACTAACCTCAAATACTAGCATAGCGGAAGTTGATTACTCCCAAAAACTGCTCAAGAAACCTACACATTAATAATATTACGCGAAAAATAACGCTTTAAAAATAGGATCCGTCTTGGTTTACGCGTATGCAGAAGATTATGAAGAATAATTGTTCGTTTATAAGTGGGTTATTTAGACTACCAGTTAATTAACTATGTATATAGAGGATGTATTCGCCCTAGTTCGTTGAAGGTGATGAAGGACAGGTAGTTGAATGTTTCCACAATCATATGAGGAGACGTTACGTTTCTACTTAATTTCACAGTCAGGGTGGACTGAAGAGTGGACCCTGGATAATACTACCTTTTGGGAAGCAGGGCTATATGAAATTAAACTTCAGTGTAAGGTCTACTCATGTGATCGTGGGAAAATTCAACTACATGTCATTCATCACCTTAAAGGAAATAGGATGAATACATCTCATATAAGAAATTATACCATACGTGTATTGTATATATGCGAAACAGCAGGTTTTTGAGGGATCTGTTGGTATATCTCTTAAATCTCCCAATCGCAGCTTTTTTATCTAAATAAAAGTCTCATCTCACAAATAAATTCCATTAACTATATATATATATATATGTATATACAATCCACGCATTGTACAATTTCTTATAATCTTTCTTATGCCTCTATGAAAACTAAGAAAACTTTCAAGGTAAGTTAACTGCATTAGGTATGTATAAATGTTTAATCATATTATATAATACCCAGGTGTTGGTTTTTCGGTGGGAGGTTAGATTTACCTAATTATATCAATAAGGAAGTTAATCGGGTATCGATGAATTCAAATCGAAAGAGGTTCGAAAAAGGATTGATAAATTGCACCATTTGCATAAGACTAAAACGAGCATTAGACAAGTTCTTTTTCAAGTACTAACTAAGGAAGAGTTTCAGAAATTATAAGTAATAGCGAGTTATCTAGAATAAGATAGAAATAGAAGTACTCAATGCAAATATGATGAAACACTTAGAGAATAGAGTATTACATTATTTTCAAATGATTAAAGAATCGGGACTAAAGTAATAAACGACAGTGTAACAATATTGTTAGAAGTAAGTTCCTTAATGTATCCATTATTCCATTAGGAAATGATATTACTTTTCTTTTGGGTGGGAGTTTAAATTCAGCTTTTTCATATGAAAGGAATTCTATTACTGAAGCATTGGTTGAGATAAGTTAGGTAAATACGTTGTTTGACCTCGTTTTCGCAACTCGGTCATATTGGTAGGAATACTTAGAGGAACGCACCTTGTCCGGAGTCCATTGTATGCATATAATCATTTTCAGAGTAGGACCGTGGACGTGGTACATTCCCAGACCTTTCGCCGGCAGCATATTAGGCATCATCAGTAAGTCTCGCCAGTCTTAGCAACATTCAACAACTCGTCAAAGAGAAAAGTGAAGTGATGAGTTGTTGAATGGTGCTAAGAATGGCGAGACTCACTAATGATGCCGACTACGATGCCGGGGAAACGTCTGGGAATGTACCAAATCCACGGTCCTACTCTGGAAATGATGATGCATACAATGGACTCCGGACAAGGTGAGTTCCTCTAAGTCTTCCTACCAATATGAGCGAGTTGAGAAAACAAGGTCAAACAACTTGTAAACAACTAAAGGAGACTGCGACCACACAAAAGGCCACACCATCTTGGTCTTCATAAATTTGATTAAGTTAGGTAAGTTATCAGAATAAGTTAGGAATAATGCAAAATTAAATTTGATTCTTCAATTTAGCTAAGTAGTTATGGAAAGGGATCTTATTATCTATGTAATTATATCATAATAGGAATATTTTCTTGAAAACGGATAAAAGTTTAGTTGTTATTGTTATACCTATATTAAATTACATATATAAGATACTAGATAATCTAAATGATGTCAATACTTATAAATATTTAGCTAAATACTCTGCTGTGGGGTTCATAACAAAGTTTAAAGATTTTCTTGAAGTGTGTATGAGATAAGGGGGAAATAGAACAATGGCGAATGAATTCATTTCTCCTAATAAATGCTAGAGCACTCAAGGCCTATGGCTTTCCGAAGGTAATTAAATAACGAATACCTTTGAAACAAATTTTTAATAAAAAGTTTTGATTATTGTATAAGATTTCACATTTATCGTCAAGGCGACGATGAAAGAAATTATCTGAATTTTTTGCCATATTCCATTAAAAATGCATATGCTTTTCTAAAATTAATAGATCAACTGGTTATTTCTGAGAACTTCCTAGCAAGTTTCGATGAAGTATCAATGCATACCAACATTCCACATATGGGAACTATTCTCGTTGGGCGTATAGATGAGACCAAGGCGAGGTAGAAACTACAGTCTAGTTCAGCCCTGCTAAAAATACCTCGTCGGAAGCATTTGAAATTAACTGACTGGTGAACACATCGCATATTGGAGAAACACTTATAGTTGATTGATAGACTTAAGAATATAGCGGTGATTGAGTCGCCTTTTCTTCATAAGAAGACTCGTTATGAAGCATTTGACATATCCATTCTGCTATAGGACGCTGAAATTTTTATACCTCGGTGAATCCAGATCAAATCTTGAAAATAGTCTTGATACCACTGCCTAAAGAGAAACCAGTATAACTTAATATACCCTGAGTGGTGACTTCCCATCTCATTATTTGAGGTTTGTTTATATACTGGACGATCAGCTTAATTGCTATTCATAAATTGTTGCGAACCACATCGCATACAAACAAGTACACACAAATGCATCATTAACATTAGGACAAGAGATTATGGGTCAAACCCAAACTCTGCTGAATGGAAATGGGACACAAGTGTACATTGCAAAATGCGGTTGCACTAATTTCCAGGTACAACGAGAAAACCGTTAGGTTCTAAGCCATATTCTAAGTCCAATTGCCCCACCCACATAAATTTCTCCCAACCTATCGTTGTGAATAGTCCAGATTATGCAAGCTTCCAGAGCTATGGTGGGCAATTTGAGTAGAAGATAATTCCCACATTCCTTCCATTCTCTAATGCCAAGATCGGGCTAAGGGGCGAAAAAGAGAACACTTACGCATGTGTAAAATGGGTAAGGCCGAATGTTCAAAGCTTCCGGTCCCTGGCAAAAGCTTACCAAGCCTTTGATAAGAGATGTGGAACTATATGGATGCTGGAAAGATATGCAGTATGTACCAATTGGCCTGGAGCGCAGTTTAGACGCAAAACAAACAAGGCATGCTTTGTAAAGCACCATAAATAAAAGTACGTACCAAAGACTTTGACTATGCTATAGTTTATTTACCTCATCACAAATGAAGGTGATGACCAGCGTACTATTTGGAGAGCTGGTGAGGTAACAAGAGATCCTTGAAGTTGAGTTAATAAAGAAATACGTCACTAGCGAGCTTGATTGGTGCGACGGTAATAGCGAATGTCTGCTGACGGCGTTGCTGCTTCTGACGCGTTCGAAGGACCATCACATTCCATCAAAGTGTGGCTTTCAGGAGAGCCTCAAGACGTTATGACGGTTGACGATAATCGTACAGATTCGGTTTAGCCTCGGTTTCACACCAGACCAGTGACTGGGAACATTCCCCATTGTTTCGCCCGCATCTTAGTCAGCATCGTCAACGCACAGCTCTATCCTTAGCTCAGAGGCACAACTTGTTAAAGTGATAAATGACGTCAACCCCTTGAGTAATATTCAGTTAATTCGTGTGGCATTTCCTCCCTCCCCACCGGCCCAATGCATTTCAAATAGCATAGTTCTGCGAGAAAAGAGCATAGAGCGCTAACAGATAGGGAATTTGAAGCACCGATGAAGATTATAAATTCAACACGGTCAGACAGAAAGTGGGTAAAGGAAAGTGACTACTCTTCACTTTGGCGAGATGCAGCTCATTGCTAAGCTTGAAACTGCTCACTGTATGAAGCTGACTACGATGTCAGTGAAACGTCTGGGAATGCATTCAGTCAGCGGTCCGATCCTCGAAGAAGTAATAACATCAAATCGCGCATATTTTCGTAGTATCGTTCAAGGCTATCAGTAATTCTTGAATAAGAACTTGAATCAAACCCTAGGTCGCTAAAGGTGGTACACTGACAAGACGAGAAATGCGGTTGAAAAAATCGGTAGCAGAGAGGCCCATCGACAATGCATTAAGAAAAAAGTTACCATTATTAAGACACTGATCGAACAGACTACTCACTTCCTTCATTAAACCGGTTGTCAGGGTATTGTTTTCTCTCATTAACATTTCAAAAAATACAATTAAGAGCTTGACTGAATTGACCAATGGCCTCGACAAAAATAGTTGAATATAAAGGCAAAATGCCTTACATACCTAACATACCTAACATTTGTAAGACTTTCCAAAACTTCTTAAACTATATACAGCTGACTAGGTGTTAAATAACTAAATTATTACATCCATACATGTTTAAATGACGCATTAAATAGGGAAACAAAAATAAATAAATACAACTGATGAAGATATGGAAAGTAGAAACAATTTTGTCGCCAAAGCAAGCCATAACTAATGGGTAAGAAAACTCCCTGATCTCTCGAACTCACGAAAGCAATTCAACTTTATTCGTAAATGGGTAGGTTTTCAAGGATGGAAACGTC